AAATAAACTGCATTTTTTTTCAGCAAGGAACAGCATTCTTAATCCGGAAGTTATTTTACCGATTGCCAGAAAAGAAGATTTTTTCTTCTTAGAAAAGAAGTTCAAATAAAAGAAATAAATATATATTTTATAATGATTATGTTCAATGAACCTAAAAAAACTAGAACATAGCTCCTTAGTTTTATCATGAAACTATATAGCATTTCCATTAAGGTTTTCAGAATAAAATAATAGCTGAAAACCTTTTGTAAAATAAAAGTTTCATTTGTGCAAAATCAGTTCAAATATTGCGAACTTGGATGCCATTTCTTCAACTATACTGTTAAAATTAAAAGAGAGAAAGAAATTTGCTTAATTATAAGCATTATTTCTTAATTCCATTTCTATAGCTGTGTTGGAAACTTATTGTTTCAAAATTTTAAACTAAACATGTATTGATTTATATGTACACATTTTAAATATTATTATAAAGCTGTTAATACATTTATTTAAAAAATAGTTGTATTTTTAATGTTTACTGATGAAAGTGTGATGAAAATCCCCAGTTTGTTCATTTAAGCTGTAAGGATTATGTTAATTTTCCTAACAGTTAAATATTGAGTTAAGGTGCCTTTCCTATCGCTTCTTAATTTCAACTTACAACTTCTGGCCAGAACGCAGTTTTAGAATCACGTATGAAGGCAAATTTAAGGAGTAGTATTTAACCCGAAGTTCTTATGTCTTAGTGAGAGAGAAGCAGAGATTCTGGCTAGCACGCGTCTGCCTTAAGCTATTATTACGCTCGGCCATACTTTAGGCCCTTGATAGCTTTGCAATGTATTAGCGTTCAGGGGCCAACTCTGTTAGAAATTTGATAGCTTCGGCTATACCTTTCTAGTTAAGATCAGTTTAGTTAAGTTCTTAGTCTCTTCAATTCAAGCCCTAGTCTCAGCTTTATTGTACAACTCCTAGATGGAGTTCTGGTACACCTTATTGGAATAATAAAGGGTTATTTCACCCTCCTTACTTGTTGTTTTCTATCCCACGAACTCAAGCTATTATTCGCTCATTAGTTCTTAAGATTCTTCGCATTCAACTGTAACTTAAAAGTACACAATACAGAATCTTACACAGCTAACAGCTCTAAGTGATAAAATCTTTATCCAATTTTAATTTTTTTAATTTTTAGTTCTATTTAGTCTTTTGAGCTCGGAATCAGTTAACGTTAGCTTGTTCTAAAATATTTGAAAGTAGTTTATCAACTTCTTCAATTCATCAAATGAATTGACTATTTTAGAAGTTGTATTTCACTACGTTTAGAGATCATGTTAATTTTCAGATTTCGAGGCGTTTTCGATGACCAATTGCCGTAAATTTATTAAGCTGTATTTGTAAAATTTTTAGTTATTAATATTTTCGCATACCAGCATGACCACGTCTTGAAAACTATACTTGTAATTTTCAGAAAACAACTCGAATCTGTAAGTTTTTCAAGCTTCGATACCTTACTAAATTTATTGAAAATAGTTTTATGCTTCTGGTTAGCTTTAAAAGACATTTATACGTTTTGAATAATCAATTCAGACAATTGGTAGGTCAAATACGTCCATGATTTTAGCTAAAACAAGACGATTTGAGGATAATTTCCATTCATTTAGTTGCAAGGAACGAATGTCTCCCATAATTATTTTTAAATTAATCGTTTATTAAATAACTGATTCTACAGAATGAAATAATTTATTTGTTCACAAACTTTCCATAGGTTGTACCTTTTGATCATTAAAAATGTAATGCATTCCAAAGACTGGATTTCCCCACTGGGATTTCAAAAGACATTTATAACTACCCAAAACTACCCAATAGCCTTATGATGACTCTAATAAAAGCTTACTTGTGCTAAAATACCTTAAAAAAGGAATAAAATAAGAAATGTTTTATTGTAAAAGGTCTATAAAAGTTTTACGATTTCTTCAATAAACCCTATATGACTAAAGTTTATTAATTTCTTGTGCATAAAATTTATAGAATTTTCTAGCAACGCAGACTTCGTTCTAAAATGTTTTTAAATATAGATTAATAAGGATAGAAACTCTAGAGATAGAGGAGAACCTTTATTAAACATCAGTGAGAGTAGAATGTTATCGGTTAGTTGCGGTGGAATTTCATAACATGATAAGAACTGACATTGTCATCTCAAAGTCATTTTGCCAGATGCCAACACAATAGCAGGTATGTAAAACATGAAGTCTAATGTTACATCATAAAAAGAATTTGTAGATCTCTGGTCAACTAGATCAAATGTAGAGTTTCCTTTAATGTTGAAATCAGATGCTCACTTCTGAGTTTAAATACAGGCTTTTATTTGAAAATTTCTCTTAAGTTAAATACTAAAGAATGAAAAGAATAAAATTTCGCCCTAAGGTTTATTTACTCTCCCCACTTCAAACCAAGGAAAATTTATTACAATGTTTTTCATTCATAAGGAATGATTAAAGTAATCATATTCTTGTCATGAAAAAGAATAAGAATCCTTTGTTTATTTATAAGCAGTTGCAAAAGAAGCTCAAAACGATTATTAAAATAACTCATTAAAAGGCAAACGAACTTTTGTTAGGGTCGATTGCTAACATTAAATTTCAGATGATTTTCCCTCCACCAATATGCAAATCATCGACGAATTGCAGATGAAATCAGCTTGTTTTTCACAGAAATATATGGGAAGAAAGCAAAACGTTTTACAGTTATAGACTTTGTAGACGAGAGTAATTTGAGAAGATAAAAGGTATTTTCTCCTTCCTTTCCGCATACCGTCTTGGTGTAACTGAATTCGGAAGTTCTAGAGTTTGAATCTCGGCGAGGACACTTCGGACTTCTTCGGATTCCTGGCATCGAAAATTTCTAAAATATTTTATTAGCGGCGCCCGAACTAAAAGGGGGTAGACAATAATTCGTCACCACCAGGATTTGGCGACTGGAGCCCCTAATCTCCAGTCGCTCTTTAAGGGGGTTATATAAGGTATTTTTTCCTTACTTTCCGCATGACTTCGTACTGTAACTGAAAGCACGCGATACGCACATTCAGGAGGTCCGGAGTTCGAATCACGGCGAGGGCTATGAAGATTTTTTTTTTCTCAGTTTTCCTGCATCGATATAAAATTCTAATAACTCCACAAAGAAAGTAGCAGATCTAAGAATTGCTTATAATATTAAACTTGTTCACTAAATTTAATAAAAGATTGCACTAATATCTACTGAAATTGCAAGTCTTTTTTCCGTTCAAAGCAGAAGCAAGTGAGAAGTTTAAAAATCGAAAACATTACTATTACCAACAGGTATAACAGTTCTTCGAGTTGTAGAGTAGCATTTAATTTTCTAACCTGTAATTTTAAGTTGCTTTCCAATCAATCCCTATTTCATTTCCTTGCCAGAATACAAAATTCCAGCACGCGCGATATTCAAATTAGGTAAGAAAAGAAATATTTAAAGGAAGGTTTTACAGGATGAATTCAGAGCGTGTTCTGTCTGCTTGAAGGCCACGTTGCTAACTTTGATCCTCTAATGATCAAAATTTTGCGGCGTTGAGTTAATCTTGCCATTAAGCTTGTTTACGCCGACTTCGAGTTACAGCCAGCTTACGCGATAGTTAAATATTAAGCCGTTAAACTGTACTTTACTTTATGAAGTTAAGTTATTCATTACCTTTTGGTTTAAGCCAGAAGTGTTGTCTCTTTATATGCACAGGTTAGTGCCGACTCTTAAACTTTATTTGAGTTAATAAAGGGTTCTATACACCTTTCTTCTGACTTTGCAGTGCTTTAAAAGACTTGGTGATAATTCACTAAACAGTCTTCAGCGTCTCTTAAATTTTGTGATAGCTAAGTTACATAAATTGTAATAAAATAAAGATAATACGAAATAAAGATTATACGAAGTTACAGAGTAAAACTGAGAACTAAAGAGCCGATGAATTCTATATATAGAATCTACAATTTACATTCAGTAACTGGAAACGATGGAATATTGCTTTTACTGTTATAGTAAAACCGAATCCTTTTCATTTAGTAGCCCTGTTTGAATTCTTGTGATTATTTTAAAACTTTTCTACTGAAAAACCACATACAAATTGAGTAGATAAAATTTTCTGGGAGATGAAACATTATACAGATATTTCTCATGCAAAAGATTAAAATTTTAAAAAAGGCTTAAATCAACCTCTGGCATAAAATCGGTTAACAAGAAAAGTATATTCTATACTATAAATGATTAACAGTTTTATAGTCTATTTGTTGGGAAATTTGGAATAAAACCGAGCATTTGGAAATAGAATAGTTAAAATAACTGCTAAAACTTGAATTTCCAGTAAGTAGAAATGAGCGTGAACGCTGGTAGACTAAACATGTTACTTACTATTTTTAAATAATACAAGAAAACTTTGCAGTTTAAGTCTATAGCGCTGTAAATCTAAATGTATAGGTATAGAAGCCTTAATTATTTTTTCAATTCTGATATAAAGTCATTCTCTTCTTCCCGAAATGGACTACGTTTTTTTTAAAGAAATCCATTACTTTTTGTTTTTCAGTTAAAATTTCTCATTCGTAAAACTCTTCGATCTAATTTAGAATTACTCGAAACTGAAATTTTCTGATTTAACTCTAATTTTCTTGTATTTTAACGTCTGTTATCTTGCTGCTTTAGGAAAGTTTCTGTATAGACTCACGGTTCGAGAAAATGTTCATCAGCAGTAAAAGATTTCTACCGCCTTTATAATTTATATTTGTTGGGAGGATACTAGCATTTCAAAGAAAACAGAGCATAGGGATTGAGAATTGAACCTAAAAAGTTATGGTGGTATTAACTGTCGCACATTATGTATTTAACTTTCTGCTGTGAGTCTTGATGTTTCATGCAAGCTACAGGTGTATGAAATTATCAGTAAGCTATAGGTATATGAAAATCGACCATAGTAAGTTTACCATAATAAGTAAATATAAATATGAAGCAAAAAATGATAATAAGCAGAGTTTTAGAAAGGAAATTTATTTATGTCATCAAATGTGCCTTGAGATTTAATGATGCCGTTTATCCAGTCAATGTAGTAGGACACTTGCGTATAGACACCAGGGTACTTAGGACGAGCACATCCCATGCCCCATGACACGACACCCACAAGCACTGCATTACCGGAACCAGATTTTTGAATTAGTGGTCCACCAGAGTCTCCCTGAAAAGAATGTTTCTGTCAAATGACATGTTAGAGGAATACTCGACAATTAGTCAAGTGGAAATGTAGTAATTACCATTTATATTACTAAGTTACACTTTCACAGTTGATGGAGTACGTTTGCATGGTTGATGAAACGAATCGTTTACGACGCTAGACATTTTTTTCTGTCAATGATTTAACCATTTTTATAAAGAACTCGACGCTACTGGTACGCTTCATTTTCCGTCAGATAAATGAGACATCAGCGGCTCGTTGTTATCAATAACGTAACTTAAATTTGTCATTACGTAAAGGATTTCTTTCATGTGCAAAAGGAAAAAAATAACGCTTTCACTTGAATGTCTCCTCACTTTATTATTCTTTCCTTTTGTTACTGTCCCTTGCTGTACTTGTTAATGAAACTGGTTCTGTTCAATGGTTAAACTTTTCTTAAAAGAATTAGCAGTTGTTTTATTTCATAACATTATTAATGAGACCAATTTTCCGCAATAAATGCTATTTCTCGGCAGACTTCTGAATATTGACATATCTTTAAAATTATGTCCGATAATGAAAATGTATTTGTTAACATGCATGCATGCACTAATGTGCTTAATGTTTACGCATTCATTAAAGGCCGATACTGCTATTTCTTTCAGCTTATTTACAAGCAAAATATAGAATTTCTTTTTATGAGTTTGGCTTTCAAGCAAAACCGCTATCAATTTAAACCGGTTTTTTTACCGTTATCGATTTAATAAATTTATTTATTTAGTTAAATGAACAATTTATATTAAATGAAATAATTAATTTTCAGCAGATTAAATATAATTTGTTGAAGAAATGAATTATAAGTTTAAAGAATTAGTAGTCACAAAAGCTGTATTTCTGGGAATAGGAGTCTTCGTGTAAAATCTGAGTTTCGATAGGGAATGAAATAAAGTACTGGCAGCTTCTCCTAAATTACTGAAACGAGGAATTAATAGTGGCATTTCGATCACCGATGATAAATTTAATGGCTGTTCTTTCCCAACTAGAAAGGGAGATATTAAGAGAGTACACGATCATTGTATCCATAAAAGTCAAAGTCCTTAAGAAGAGCACAATAGTCATATACATGGTATCCATAAAAGTCCTTACTCGGCTTTTATTTTCGTAACCGTTTGTCGTAGGTACGTACTTGTAGTTACAAAAATGTTTTAAATGATGCAAATGTTTATGTTCTGGCATTCTTAAATTTAAAACAAAGCAATTTTATAAAAATTACGAAATCTAAATTTTTATACGATTTTCCCTGTTTCTATATTTGTACAAGCAAAATATAGAAAATTCTATGCTTGTTATAAAAAGTGCAAAACAAAATGTTTGACACACATACTACAAAAATTAAGATATTAAATTAAAAGATTTTGGATATTTGAAGTCATTTTTAACTTGCCTTGAGAATAATAATAATTTAAATGAATAAAAATAATTCGAGGCTGATTTTGTTTCGTTATAAATGCCATTTATTGATATTTTTCGTGATGAAATCTTTTATAGTTCTTTCTCAGATGTTAAAAATGCGTTAATAACATTGAGTTTCGTTTATTAGAAACAATTTAATGAAAATGAGAAGTTGAGTGTAATTTATATTTAGGCTAGTATATAAAAAAAAAAAAAAACCGTAACTTGAAAACGTTCAGATAGCATAAAATAATTATTAAGCCTATTATTAATATTAGGCTATAAGTCGTACACTAATTATTTATTCTTGATGAATTCAGTTGCCTTTTTCTCATAATACATTTTGATTCCCCTTTCTGACTTTAGCACACTTCTTATGAATCCACACTTTACACGACAAACAAAGTCTTCCTCAACAGATAGCACAGAACTATGAATACTTGTTAGAATTGATTGACCTATTTACTGAAGGCAATGAATATTTAGTCTTTAACTATCTTCTCTGGTTTAGAAGTTGCGAGCCGTCTTTTCACAGCGGCGCCTCTTCTTCCTTTTTTTTTTCAGCCCTTTCCAGGATCTACTTGTATTGGGCTACTTTTTATCAGTATTGGTTTTGGGTTTTTGTTGAGCTTTTCCTAACTCAGACAACCAATAGACGGAATCGGAGAAATTTTACCCAAAGGAACTTTCACTTTTGACAACAATGTTGATGCACTAGATGGAAGCGGTTTTGATTCTGTTCCACTGGTCGTTGCAACAGATTTTCTCTATAGAGCCTGCATGTCATGTGACAGTCCACTCGTAGAAGTAGTTAAACTTATGTCAGGAACTTCTACAACAGGAACATATGTTTCAACCTGCACTGCTGCAACAAAATGAGAGTCTTGAAATACATCTCTGTTCACTAGCCAGACTCCTGTTCAAGCAAAACCATTCATTGCCATTGCTATTGTTGCTGCTTGTCCATATGCCTTCCCAAACAATCTTGTTGTATGGAACTAGGTAACAACTTCTAATTTTCTGTCTTTCCGTCTGTGTCGTAGAAATTTCTCAACTTCATTGATTTAATAAGTTCTTAGTGGTTTGAAGAACGAAACGTCAATGGGTCAAGTTTTATAACAAAGAAAATAAAATCATTATCTAATTTTAGATTTAATTACTGCTGATAGCTTTTAACTAAATCAGATGCAGTGACATTTTATTCTTCAACTTGAAAAAGTTACAAAATATTAACATCCATATGATTTCCATGGTTGCACCATCAGCCCATTCATAGCAACATAGACTGCTTCATTGAAGGCAACTAGCAATTGGTATGTAATACGTCCGTGATTTCGGTTATAACAGAGTAAACAACTATTGCTAATGTAGATAAATAAAGCTGATTTGACACAGTTTTATGTGTTATGAGTAACAACTAAAACACTATTAACGTCTCACTGATTTCTATATTTTCTTTACATTGATAAATTAGAAGAAAAGTACAAAAAGCTTATCTTCTTGTAAAGCAACTTGTTTGAGCATTGCTCAACTCCCAATCAAGTTGGTGGTTTTCAAGCTTAATGTAGTACACTCAACAGTTAACAGGTAGCGCCTATTGTCAATAACTAGAAAATAATGGAGGTGGCTTAACGAAGGAGCCAGCCCATCGATAGCAACCTTACCCAATTATGTGCTGGCTATATGTTCATAAATGTAGTACTTTCTAGAATATGAATTATGTAAGATTCTGTGAACGAGATCCCCTTTTAGAAAACGAAATTACAATATTCAATATTTTCGTTTCAAATTGCGCAAAAATGCTTGTCACTTAATCTGTTAACATCAGAAATTCTTCTAAGCAGATATTTTGATCTGAATTTCGTTCAGATGCAGTTTCTCTCTTCAGTTGCTGCATGGCCCTTGAATAAGGTAAACTTTAAATGTCTTGATCAGCCTTTGTCATGGGAGTCACATATTTTCCATTTTATTTTTTATAATGATTATATGTTTTCTTTAAATATAAGTATAGGGACCAGAAAAACGTATAAGAAGTTAGATTTCGTAATTTTTATAAAACTGAATTTTTTAAAATTAAAAATGCCAAAATATGAATATTTGCGTTATTTAAAACATTTTTCTCATTGTAAAAATGTATCTGTGACCAACGATTGATGAAATAATGGCCGAGAAAGGATTTTTATGGACACGATACATATTGCTTCAAATCGGCTAAGCGCATTTCTCCTGATTGGAAGTTTAACATTTGTAAATTAAAAGTAATTAGTTACTACACTATAGGAAAAGTTTGAAATACTATAGGAAACAATACAATACTATAGGAAAAGTTTTGCCCATTCATGGAAAATAAGAATTCAGTACCCGCTCCAGTGAAGTTCCAAACTTTTCATACCAATAGTAAAACTTAAATATCTGTAAAACAGGTTTTCAAATACTATCCCAAAGTAGCATAAAATTGTAAGTGATGTTTCTGGAAAATTAAGCGTTTAGATTTTTTAATATTGTAAATGAAAGAAGCTTGAAAGTCAGTCCATCAAACTTTATATTTCTCATTTATTACTTATACAAACATAGTTATACTATACAGCTTACTTTAATGTTTAAAATGGTAAAATTTCAATTAAACTTAACGAAATTTTGAATAAAAGGTTATGAAATTATGCTCTGTTGCAGACTCAACTCTCAATAATTTGGTAAATCAAAATAGTAAAATGGAAATAGACCAATTTAAGTTCAGTAAATAATTTAGTAAACATAAACGGAGTTATTTCAAGCACTCGTTAACTTTCTACGATGAATAAGTTTGAAAAACAGTAAAAATACATTAACATTTAAGATGAAATTTTGCATAAAATGTTATATATATTAACAGAAAAAGTACTTGTTTGGAAATGAAATATAATTGAAGTGATAAAATGATAAACTAACTGACCTGACAGGAATCCCTCATTCCTTCTTCGTAACCTGCGCAGACCATTGTTTCAACAATGGCTTCACCATAAGCTTTTCTACAAGCTTCATCACTAATTATCGGAACTGACACAGCCTGTAGTCTTGTTGGTATCACTCGTGAACCTTGAAAAATCAAAAAGGAAACTTTATAAACTTTCTTTAAAGCATTTTAGTTATTTTCAAATACCTTGTTGTAGAGGGTGTTTCCACATTTTTAGAACGATTTCGACAAAGGGTTAAAAATAAGGAAATTTTTCGAAATAAAAATTTCTGGCAACAGCGCATTATTTGAAATGAGAAATGTCCTCTGCTACTTTGAAATGTGTGCTCTATTTGAATAGAAATCTTCTTATTTTAAGGTTCATAAACGTTGTGAAATGTATGGTATTAAAATATATGTTTTCTAGATTTTCTTAAAATTAATAAGCAACATTATTATTCGGAAAGGGAAAACCGTCAATCTACATGGAACAAAGACTCCAAATGAATACCAGAAAATACTACTTCTAATGTTTCTAAAATTAAATAGTTGAAAGCAAGGGAAATCCGCTGACTCAAAAGTCAACTGCAAAGTCTTCAAATCCGTCTGTTACAAAAACAAAATAATAAACCAATATTTACAATTTAAAAAAAAAAACCTAAAAAAACAAAATTTTCACCAATGTTTGCCAAGGCATGTGGCTCAATGTTTAACTATTTAAAATGAAACAGTTTAGTACGGGATAAATGGAAATGCATTGTGACATTTGATGAAGCAGGAGTATAAATGTAATAGAAGAAACTTTAGACATATTAAACGAAAAGCCAAACAATGGATGGTTTAGATCGTCTGGCAATAAACATTCTAGCATCGATGTACCTAAATGACTGCAACAAAAGAAGGTCTATTTATATTATCGAAAACGAAGAGAGAAATTTGTACAAACTTGGTTCCGTCAATGCAAAGAAAGTTTCAATAGAGGGTTTAGGATTATCACAGGAGTCTCTTACAATGGGAAATACAAAATAAAAAGTGAAGAAAAAAACTGTTAAAAGAAAGTTTTATGTCCGATATTTGCATAAGAAATTCCATTTTTTTATCTCCACGACTTTCGAAGAGTGAAACATCATTAAGAAAAACTTGCAATTATGTCTTTTCAAAGTATACCTGCGAAGTCTCCTAATGTTTACCTATGGACTATTGTATCTTTGGTCTCTTAAAAAGATCTTTATCTAAGCGCAAATCTCCAACTGCTGATGAACTCTAGAAAGTGTGGTAAGAGGAATTGAAATCAGTTTTCTTAAAAAATTTACAAAAACCCTTTCTATTATGGAAATCACGATGTAGACTTATAGTTCATAAAAAAAGGCTGTAAGATCATGCATTAAAACATTCTTTACACTTTAAATATTAATTAAAGGGACTCAAATCTTTCTAAAAATATGTATATACCCCCTGTATAAGAAGCCTATAAGTGCGTCTCTGAACATTTCGAAGAATGGATTTTAAGGTAATATCGTTAGCAAACGTTCTGAACGTTCAGATGTATATTTATTATACAGATAATAATTTCTATATGATTCAAATACGATAAGATAATCACATTTAACAATAATATGTGTAACATAGCACTTACATGATAAATGAATGTACTACATAACTAATGAACACAGAAAAAAGAAATATAAGTTTTAAAAAAGTACTTGAAAACATCATATTTTCCAATTTTCAATTCATTACATTAAATTTGTTGATCACATAATTTGAGAAAAATGCCTGAATTGGATTTTAAATTATTATAATCATTGTTAAAATTCATATGCAAATTTAAGGTTTAGTACCATAATTCCAGCTCAGTTGTTCTACAGCTTTTCTTGTAATATTCTCTTACACTGAAGCATTAGTTAGTACTGTTGTAAACGTTAGCATAAATACATTCGTTTCAACAGAAAATAGAGTATAGTAGAGAGAGAAGAACGTGGGCGGAAATTTAATCTAATATGAGCTAAATAAGCAGAATGGTTTCAGAAATATCCTTAATTTCAGAGATGGAATCGTTATTTGCATTTTAGATATTAGAATGCTGACAAACTAAATTAAAGGAAAATATCTTTCTTTTTAATAAACTTGAGATATTTACTGCAAAGGGAAAAAAATCACATTGTTGAAGGAAACGAAAAGATATAAATAATATGAGTTTTGCGTAAGACCGTGGGAAAAAGGCTTCGAGGAAGAGTGAAATGCATCAACTTACCTTAGATCAAAAGGTAGCTGACGTTCACATTACCTCACTTACCTTTATACAAATATACATCCTTCTTATCAAAAACTGAAAGAGTCTATCCAGTATTCCGACGATCTCTTTCAGAGTCAAAAAGTTTTTTCAGAGCATGATGTCTTGAAAAGTCAACTGCAATTATAGAGATACTAGGATTTTTTTAAGTCGGATACATGAAATCGAGCAATGCCCTCGCCGGGACTCAAACCTCGACCTCTCGAATACGCGGCGAATGTGCTAACCGTTATGCCAAGAAGGCATGCTGGAAGGAGGTAAAAAATATCTTATCCCTTTTTAAAGGGCAACTGGAGATTAGGGGAAACAGTCGCCAAATCCTGGTGGTGAAGCATCATCATCCACCACCTTTTAATTCGGGCGCCACTGTAGAATCATTAAAATTTTTTCGATGTCAGAAAACTGAATAAATGAGCCATGTCCTCGCCGGGACTCGAACCTGAACCTGTCGAATACACGCCGAGTGTGATAACCGTTACACCACGAAGGTATATCGGAAGGAGGGAAAAATATCTTATACATTGTTACCGATAACAGAACACGACTCTTCCAACACAAGCTGGATCTACCCATAACTGCACAAAAAAGAGCTTGTGGTAGGAATATCATTAATTCCTTACATCCTTCCTATCTAAAGGCCGACTTGGGGAAGAATTTGGGACAGAATTAGCCAAATCAAATTCAGGACGATTTGTCATCCTCCATTTTCAAAATCGAACGCAATTGTACAATTTTCTGAACAAAATGTATTAAAAATTCAATTGAGACTTTGTCAGAAATTGAATCTGTGTCTTCCGATTTCTAACTGGATATGCTTACTATGGCACAAGAGTATATAAGAAATGTCTCTAATTAGTTATATCTCAATATATTCCATATAAATGTAAAATTTATTTTATTTTTTCTTACCTCCATTAAAACCGTTTTAATCCCAACGTAGAGAGAATAAAGCCTATTATGATCAATATGTAAACAAGTGTCCATAAAATCTGCTTTTTATTGAAATAGATGGATTCTTACATATGCTAATCAAATTTTTTGCAAACAATAAGTCATGATTTATTTAACTCAAATAAATATTATATATAAGAAAAATACCGTGTTACTAATAATATATTTATGCATTAAAATTATTTCTGTACATTAAAAAATCAGAAAAATTTAATTCAAAAAGCAGGCTAAACTATACCGTATTGTCTCATTATATCCAAATATTAAAAGCTCTTTCATTGCTTACACAACGGTGTAAAACATTTTTCAACATTAAATAATATGCTGACAAAAACTACGCGTACTATATTTGATGAGAAAACAGTCAATAATAGTCATATTATTGAGATTAATGCTCAGATATTCCAGTCAGTAAGCTTCATGGCATTCTAACATCACCTACTTGTTTTTCAAACTTAAAAAATACTTTGTCTTTTCGTATCAAATATGATAGTGTGGGCGGTGGTGACCTTTCACATTACGTATGACACCGTGAACCTACAACGGGATATGACACTTGGACGACGAGGAGGTTAATTTTTTTAATTTTTCTTTTTGGTCAGGTACTTTTCATTTATAATGTTTTTATTTTTTTCCATTAACATAGAAAATAATATGAAAAAAGGAGCTAAAGAAAGGAGTAAAACTGAACAGTCTTCTAATGTGAGAATCCAGCTGGCGCACTTATGCAACTTTAAAAGATATCGCCAATATTTAAGCATGTCGAGTACTTATTATCCCACTTTCCAAACTATTTGATCTAATGTATTTTTAATTAAGAAATTAAAAAAGCCACATAAAATTCTTTTTCTAATAAATAAAAAAGGTAATGCATGCATTTCATTACGAAATAATATAAGATTCATGAATTGATCAGCGTATAACCAACTTTTGTCAAGTTTTCGGCATCTTTTCCTAATGCGATTCATTTTAACGCTAAAGAGAAAAGAAGTAGTCAACGAGTGTTTTCTTTTTGTATTTTTGTATTAATAAGTACTCTAATACAAAAAGAATAAATTAGCTCAAAGTGCTGCTAAATTTTAATTTAGGTTTAAAAGTATTGTTAGATCCAACTCCTCAGCAAGAAAACCCGAATTATATCAAGTAAATTAATACATGAACTACATAAAGCAAATATCTAAGATACTAAGACATTGACTTGAATGAAAAAATATAACAATCCCATGGTCAAAAGGTTCTTCGAAGTATTGTATCATCAGGTTTATGGGGTATTTCAAACGAAACTAAGGCATCTTTTTATTATTTGGCTGGACACCGTATTTTTAAAAATGGGCGTTTGAGCAAAGAACCTCGATTTTTTTTATGATCAACGGATCCCTCTCATATAGCAACCATCTTATTTCCCAAATTTCTCACCTCCTTGAATCCTCTGTTTTCTCTTAGCGAGATGGTTCTATAGCGCACACATTTTCAGACAGTTCAAGCTATTCAGAACAATGCGACATATTCCAAAAGAGCAATGCTATCAGTCTTCCAAAAATGTCAGGAACACTACTGGAATAGATGCATGGAGTTCCGATAAAAGTTAATTTCCAGGTTATTAGATAATAATTTTTTTACATTTCAATAATTCATTAAAAAGATACATGCAAACATTTTTTGAGACCGTTTTGAACATGGAAGTTTTCAATTAAATTATAGTATTTCTAACACAAATTAGTAATTTTTATTAAGAATATAAATAAATAGGAGCTAAATTACTGAGTATTCTGTTACCGTTTAAAGTAATTCTATGGCTAATTAAATAGAACGGTAAATCAATTAACTCTGAAACTGAAGTTAGAGAAATCTATCGCTAACTCAATACTTCATTTAAATTTTTAAACATTTATATCAGTTTATATAATGTTACTATCATATACAATGAAGCCCATAGTTTGCTGCGTATGGATCTCAAATGCATGGGTGACGAAGAAAATAAAATAATTTTACAACGACGCGCTTGTTTTAGTTAGTGCCCTGCAACAGTTTTATGAGGCACTGTTAATGCTTTAAATATGACTAGAATCTAGAAATGCTTCAAACCTTCTTTTAGAGTTCCCCATCCTGATACAGTGGCATAACCACGAGGCTCATGACCGAAGGGGGGAAGGCATATGGGTTTTATCATCCCGTCTGAATGCTCGAAATCAAATGGGGCGTCCACTTTCAAGACAGCGATGTCGTTCTGAAGCGTGAGTCTAGAGAAATCTTCATGAATGTATGCATCGTCTACCTGAAAAAAATACTCGTCATGTATGAAGAAAATGTTTTAAAGATTAATTTAGCTTTTTAAAAAATTTAAAGATTGTGTATAATATTGACTTTAAAGCAATTTATTTAATGTACCACAAGAGACACAAATACATGTGATGAGTCTAGAATTTATGTGGCCTTTTGAAAAATCGGAACTAATATATTACATTAAAGTGCTTCGATGTCAGGATTCATCTCGGCCAGATGAACAGAAGTTAAATATCACATTAGCAAAAGCTTAGTAACTTTATTTTATTAGTTTCGAATGCATACTTCGTACTTAAATGAAATCTAGAGTAATTACTGTTAGAAATTACTTTACTTCTTTTTTCGTATATGAGAATAATACATTCAACATGTGCTGCCTACAGAGCTTCCTGAATTTGTGATGTATGCGTAATCAGAGTGTTTAAACTCATCCAGCTAATCTACGTGATTAAAAATGAAGTTGACTTTTGAAAAACAACTTAAATATTACATGTTTTAACTATCTTTCACTACGCAAGAAGATTACTGTATGCACGTAAATAATATTTATTATGGACATTAGCAGCATTTATTTCATCCATGAATGAGCACTTATTGCACCTTTTTATTTATCATATTACCATCCATGTGTTTACATGTAAGAGTTATGAAAATCTGTAGCCATCATTTTTACTTTTAGTGTTTTCTTACACGATTAAACGTCATGGTTAGCGATAATTCAATAAAGGAACAATAGTTAGGGATATTTCTTTCCAATGCACTTTTTATTCATTCAGCCAGTACTTGAATTTCCTGATCATTGTTATGGCAATGAAAACAGGCTTTGCAAGTACGGTATTTCCTGCTGTATTAAGAGAAGCACGTGATGATGTGCTTAATTACTTCACTAATTACTTTCAGTTTTCTTCTTCCTTAAATTGACCGTTACAGACTGTTGGTAAGCTCGTCATACTCGAGGAATTACCAATTTGACCTTCCGCACTATTCATCCCTCGTTAAGAAGCAATAAACAAAAGTCATTTGCTTAAGTTCAAGGACATTTTGTTGCATTTTTACTTCTAAATGATCGGTAAAGTATGAATGTATACGTATTTCCTTAGAGGATGCTATCCGAGGATAATACGTATCAGATAGACAACATAGTTCAAAATGCATTTCTCAGCCCGAGGTGTTATTGAATACGCTATTTTCCACCATCACAGGAACAGGATTTTGTAATGGTTTCAGTGTGTTCACATGGGGTTAAAGGCGAAAAGCTCATACTTAGTCTTAGAAGCATTTGGATAAAAAATATTAACAGGACTCGCATCAAAAATCTAATTAACCATAAAATTTGAGAACTAAGCATGGAAATAATATTATGCATTATTGTAAGTAATATTATGCAAAATTGGATTTTTTTGGAAATTATTTTCTTCAACAGTTAACCGCTCTTCGCGTTGCATTTGCACTCTCTTGATATGAACTCAAGCGCGAAGAATTTAACTGGAATTTTAGCAAGAAATACCCTGTAACAACTTGTGCGAACATCATCTCTCCCACAACTGACAGACCTGTTTTTACTCGTAACTCTGTCCTGCAGGACAGAGTATTTGAATGGAACAATGTGCATTTTCAGACCGCATTGCTTATCTCAAAGAAACTCTTTTTTTCCCTTCTGTGAAAGCACTTTTGTTACTGAGAAAAGAATAAAATTTTATAGTAAGACTAATGTTTATCTTCCAACTAGCTGAAAATATTTTGAAGATTTTAAAGATGTTGTTAACTAAAAGACTACTTTTTATCACTACTAATTTCAGTTAGCAATGCAGAATATTTCAGTAAGTAGCCCTCAATGAAATCATCATTATGTTCTTTCTATGCCTTAGGTGATATGAGCTGATCTTTAGCTTTTTACTGCAGTAATACAGTAAAATACATTTTAAATGAAACAGATAAACATCCAGACAGCGATCCTTTACAGTTTTTATGCGATAGTCATACCTTATTAAGCCAGAAAAGTATAAAATGTTCTCAGACTGATTGCTTCTTCTTAGGTATTCATGGGATGAAGTTAATAATCTTTTCAACAGCGTTATATTTACCCTTATCAGTGAAGGGAATTCACTAGAATTTTTTTATTTTTATAAACTCTATAATCAAAGTAGGTACACTTAGATCTTGGTTATCAGTGCTATTTAAATCCCGAGAGCGATGGAATAATAATAATAAAAAAAAGGAGAATCCGAAATTGCTGTAAAAATAAAATTTCAGATGCTTTAAACAGCTGCAAAGTATATGTAAAATAATGAAACCTGGATCACTAAATATAGCCTAAAATTCTCTAATTTGTTCTTTTCAAATGAGCTTGCCTACACATTCCAGTACTTCTCTGTGAATCACCTTTACATACAACTTTGTACAACCATTTGATGGTTTAAACTCTGATGCATAAGTTCATACTCAATTTGAGATCATGTTATTCTCTCTGTTCTCATGTTCAAGAATTGAATCAAGTATTTTTTTAATTGTTAAAATAATCTTTCTTCGTTTGGCTGGCTACTCAGGCTCTTATGTTCTTCCATAAAATGCATTTTAAATCAAGCACTTCGAAGTTGAGCAAACATTTACAAACAAGAACTTTGCGATGATACGCAAAATATCAACAATAATGGAAAGCAAAACTAGCTAAAGATTCTGCCAGGAAAACTGTCGACATGATAGCACATGGTGAGGGTCAGAGCCAAAGCCGGTACAACCAGTACGGCCGGCACCGGGGGGGGGGGACAAAAATTTAGTATTTAGCAAAACATTGAGCAGCAAAAATCTGTTCATTTATTTATACATACGTGATGCTCGAATAATCCACAAAACTTATAATCTTGATCTTGATTAGCAGGATTTGAGTATATATATAATTTTTAGTCAAACAAAAGGTACTAAGAATTAATAGAGAATCAGCAACTGTTTTGTGACAACGCAAGTTTATTTTGAACTCTTCTCTAGCTACTATGCTGCTTAAAAAAATTAAAAGGGAAAAAGAAACTAATTTCAATTTTGTCTCAATTTAGAATGTTTCTTATGCATTAAAACCAAATTTAATGCTATTATTTCTTCTATATACAATATTATTTCCAATACTTTAACAATTAATGTTTGTATAATTTATGGGTTTAACTGTTGCTGCAAATATGCAAATTAAACAATTTTGTATTTCAATTTCAGATGCATTTTATTTAAATTTAAATTTAGTTTCATATTTACACGCTAATTTACTAGTTATATTTTCATAAAGAATAAAAGCCATTTTCGGATTCTTTTTATTACTATTTATTAAAAGTTTGTTATTTTTTTAACTTTTTATACGCATATTATCTCTGTTTGATTCGGATCAGAAAATGACTAAAGAAGCTTTATTTGTGCGGGTCTGTCCCTCTGATAAAGAAGCAAAAAGAATCGAACTTAATTTATTCTGAATTCCAACATCAATTTACCATTTAATATTCTACCATTTTAGATTATTTTGACCTGTGAGATTCTGTTTGAATTAAATCAAGTTCCGATAATTTTTATTATTTATTCCTTCCTAATGATGATTTTTTTTTAGTATTTTATGTTTGTTTCTTTATAGAAAGCAACAAATTATACAAAAACCATTTACATCTATATATACATAAATACACACTCTTTAATGTAGATAAAAAATGAAGAAAAGGGAACAAGTACTGGTAGAAGCTGCAGACATCAGAATTTCACTATTGATCATGCAGCTATAGTCCCTTGTCACTAACTACGCATTTCTGCCCAAATTTCGATGGAGAATATCCCAAGAACTGACCCATATATCTTCACTCCTCTTACCCTATCAACAAACCACTCATAAGGACTTTCAACTAACCAGTGCCCTCATGCCGCACAGAAACACACATTTACGAACAGCCATGCTTTCTCTGGAATTCGAACTCAGGCCCTATGATTACGATAGTCAGTGTTTCTGGCCCGTATACCAATCAAGACGGCAAACGTGGAGAACAGTAAAACATATATTTTTGTATTCTTTAATTTTTTTATTGTTACTAATACTAACTTCAGTCTGTTATTTTAAAATAGGCGCTTCGAGGTGGAAACGATTCCTCCCCTCTTCCCTCCAATTTGTGTTTGTAACACGTTATAATCACCGCAGAGCACTTATTTCTCCCACCTCATTTTAGCCTGTAATTCACACCACAAATTATCCATGCGCTATTAAAGATTATTAATTATCCAAATAATTAAAGCCACAAATTATCCATATAATTAAAGCCATTTTCTTTGTGGGCTTACACATTTGGAGATTGTATGCCAAATTCGGTATCTTAGCTTTTGTCCTGTTATTAGTCGAAGTTACACTTCAAAGTTGAAAATCTGGCTTTGCATCAGACAGTTTTGAGTAATTCAAACTTAATTACACAGAATTCTGTAAACGCGAAATGCGATTAACGGCATCATTCTTGTATTAAATTAGCTATCATTATGTGTTGAAGTTAGCCACAGCAGTTGTAAGTAAAGTTACTTATTATCCAAAAGGCGGGAGAAAGGAGGGTTTTATAACATGATTTCTGTAATCTAAAGCACAATTTTTCAATCATTAAGTGTATTTATTTGGTATTAAATATGACACTCAGATAAATGGATGGGTGGCGTAATAATTATTTAAAAAATAAATTTTCGTAACTAATTTGAGTTCTTAACAAATGATTTCGTTCAGTTTGACGTTAAATTTTATATTTTCTTGTTAGAGATTTCAAAAGTTATACATATTTGCGTACAACATTTTAAACACTTTATTAACTCTCGATTAACGTCTGATGTTTTTTCAATTTGCAGCAATATAATGTCCGCTAAAAACTCACGTTATCAATCAACGATGAATAAGATCATTTCTTGTTTTTGTTGTATTGTCCATACTACATGGAACAATTGCCAGAGCCTACTCCAAAGAGAGGTTAGACTTCCATTTTCCACTCCCAGTTT